GAGAGAGGGAACACAAGCAGGGGGAGTGGGAGAGGGAGAAGCAGGCTTCCCGCCGAGCAGGGAGCCTGACGTGGGGCTCGATCCCAAGACCCTGGGATCATGACCTGAGCCGAAGGCAGACGCTTAACGACTGAGCCACCCAGGCACCCCTTAGTCATTATTTTAATCTCTGGTAGGTACTCAGTAAAAGTTTGAATGAAGCGGTAGAGCTGGGTTAGCTGGGAGCAAGAATAAACATTTTTTGTATCTAGGCAAGGGTGGTGGTCTTTCTGCTTTCCACTGCCACTGTTTACATCATTTATAATTGGCTTTCTGATGTATTTTCTCCAGTTAGTAGTTGTGGGTTTTTTTTATTATGGCTAATTTTCTCATATTTGGGTTGTTTGGTAGTTTGAGGATTAGGATGAACTCTTATGTTCACATTTTTTTTTTAAGATTTTATTCATTTATTTGAGAGAGAGAACACAAGCAGGAGGGAGGGCCAGAGGGAGAGGGGGAAGCAGACTCCTCGCTGAGTGGGGATCCTAGGTACCCTGAGATCATGACCTGAGCTGAAGGCAGACACTTAACTGACTGAGCCACCCAGGCGCCCCTTATGTTCAGATTTCTAATAAACTAGTATAACAATTTGAATGACCTGTTTTCAAATGAAATCTAATATTTCTGTATGCAGACTTGTGAGTATTTTAAATAATGAACTGCATTGTGTATTGAATGGATAACAGGATAAGTGATTATTTTCAAGGTTATCGGATTTTGTATTATGAGACACTAAGCATGAATTTCTTAAACCAGCCCTTGTTCAGTTGCTGCTTCGTGCAGTGATACGGGAATGGACATGAGTTCTAGGAACTGTTGGTCTTTTAAGATGAAGACACAGGGACAGCTATTTTGTTTGGCCATTCAGGTGACCCCATACAGCTAAGAACATTGATTCTTGATTCACACGTTGAGCCATTATCATTTGATTCCTCATTTTTGTAGGTTTATTGTTATAAATTGGGGTTCTAATTCCCACTTCATGTCTTAAAAAATACCTAAAAACTGAAGAATAAAGCAAATGAAAGTGAATGCTCCAGAATTATTTTATATAGACATTTTGAATATATGTATAATCAAATAATACAAAAGCTGTGTCATATATAATCCTCCTTGGAGGTTTTTCTGCATAGACTGAAATGGTCAGTTTTTTCCCAGTGAAGTCCAGTGCAATTTTTAGTGAAAGTGCCTTCTTGATAAAATGCCCAACGTTAGCACTAAGCATTCTTCTTTTCTTGAAAGAACTAGATACAGAGTTCAAAATAAGCAACATCTGTGTTTGCAAATCCATTGCTAATTTCATGAGAGAATGATTTGAATATTCTGGTGAGGCACATCTCTTTAAGAGCTATGTCCGTTCTCTCGAATCCCAGAGTGGGGTGGCTGGCAGGGAAAAAGGGAGCTGTGTGACCAGTTGTTTGCTTTGCCTCCTGAATGGAAAGTACTCCAAATGGAAAACTTTCTCGGACCAGTTAGGTCGGAATCTATGAGCAGCTCCTCTTCCAAAAGCAAGTGACAGCGGAGTTTGCCAGACCCTCCGTGCCAGTTCAGGAGGGCTGCTGGGACCAGAGGGCAGGCGATGGAGCAGAGACCTCAGCCCTCGCTGTCTTTGGTCTCCTCTGACAAAAACCTCTTCTGGGCAGAACAGAGTGTGGCAACAAACCATTTGTTCCCCAGGTTTACAGACCTGGCTCTGGAAGGGAGCCACATTCATCCGGAGGCTGGGAAATGTTTTCCTTGGTCTGTGGCTGGGCTGATGTTGTTGTGCTTCCTTCTTGTCCACAGCAGGATGGCACTAGGGAAAGCAAACAAAATAGAAGCCTTTCTCGATGAGAAGGACCCAGGAATCGAGGCCCGAAGCAAGGGAGGAGCTTCTGGGGGAGGATAGGGGTGAGGAGAGCCTGTGGGGAAGCTGGCTAGCTCCAGGGACCTGCCAAGTATTATTATTACAGTGTCCTACGGAAATGAGAGAAAGACCAAACAAGCTGTGTCCGTTCTGACTTCTTCTAGTCCCTTGCTTGTCCTAGGCAGGTCTCAGTGTTGGCCTTGATTGTGGTGATCAGGAATTTGTTTCCATTTCCTTTTATTTGAGTCCCTGTGGGCCAGGTGATAAGGGAGACAAAAGTGAATTTACTCAAGGAATTTATTTTCTCTAGCTTGAGGTGTATGTATAAGTCATGTCAGAGGGAGTGGTAAGTGTTATGGGCATAGTAAGAGAGGTATGCTGTATTACAGAATGCTGTGGAAATTTAGGGAATGGAAGGTATATTTTCACATGTGTAATCAAATAGGTCATTTAAGCTGTGTCTCAGAGATCGAGTAGGATTTGGACATATGAAGGTGACAGTGTGTGATGTAAACTCCAGGCCTTAAATCATGTAATTTCTAGTATTTATTTTTTGCTTAGTGTAAATAAGTCATGAAAGTACTCCATGTTCATTGTGACACATTTTGGAGTATGTATATACAGTATAAAGAAGAAAACCTGATCTGTCTGCCCAGGTAGCTGCTGTTGACCAATGGTGAATTTCCTTTTCCGTTCAGAGGCAGTCACTTAAGCGTCAGAAATCCTTAGGTATCAAATCATTCTTATGGCCAGACCCACATGTTTAATTCATTGCACATTCTAAGTTGAATATGAACTGAACCTAAAAATAATCTATATCATGTATGCTCTAAGTGTAGTTACTCTGTTTCTTACTTTTTCTTCAGGCTAATTACAGTCTTTTGTAGGAAATACCCTATATACAGCTGCTGACAGTGCTCCTTTTCCCTTGTCTTCCAAGCAAAATTGACCAGGAAAGAAATTTCAGTGATGCTTAGCTGTGATATATGGGTTGTTTTTGGTTTTTGTTTTAGATTTGAGAAAAAAATTAAACTTTTTTTATTGTTAAAATGCCCAGTTCTCTTGGTTTTTCAAAAATATAACTACAATAAAATATGTAGTACAATAAAATGCGTATTTCAAAATGTACCATTTTGACATTTGTGAGTGTACGAAGTTGTGGCACTAAGTGCATTGATATTGTTGTACAGCCCGCACCCCCATCCGTCTCCAGAGCTTTTTCATCATCCCAAACTGAAACTCTGTACCCATCGAGCAGTTGTTCCCCATTTCTCTCTGTCTGCGTTTCTCTCCTTCCCTCTTTTTTCCTTTCTTTTTATAATAGCCATCCTAATGGATGTGAAGTGGTATCTTGGTGTGGTTTTGATTTGCATTTCCCTAATGATTAGTGATGGTAAACATCTTTTCGTGTGCTCTTGGCCATTTGTACACCTTCTTTCCTACGTTGTATAGCCTCCTCTCTCCTCCTGGTCCACCTTTGCCCAGCAGTACTTCAGGTAGTTTAATGCCATTAACAACTGCTCAAAACCAGGATTTTCAATGATTATATACTATCCTGCCATACAGATTCCCATTTGTCATGTTTTTCAAATGATAAGACCTTCAGGGGTAGAACTTTCGGAGAGTTTTAGTTGTAAATCTTACAATGATGGAACATCTGTGTGCATAAATAAATTGTTTATTTGTTTAAGACACATGGCTGGATTTGGTCAGGAACATACATGTTTCAGAATTGCTTTCTAGAAGGCCTGTTTGGCAGCACGAGGTTTGCTTCTAATTGTAGGCACTGAGCAGAGTGGAATTAGCTCAAAACCTAATGTATCCATCTGTTTTCCTTCTTTCAGATGTTGTTAACTCAGTCCTCTCATTTCCATTCTCCTCCTTTGTCCTAAGATTTGTACCTTTATTTCTTCACTGCCATTTTAGTTGGAATTTGTGAGGGAGCAGAGATTGCACTTTTTTTTTAAATTTTTTTTTTTAAGATTTTATTTGCGACAGAGAGAATGAGAGACAGAGAGCATGAGAGGGAGGAGGGTCAGAGGGAGAAGCAGACTCCCTGCTGAGCAGGGAGCCCGATGTGGACTCGATCCCGGGACTCCAGGATCATAACCTGAGCCGAAGGCAGTCGCTTAACCAACTGAGCCACCCAGGAGCCCTGCACTTTTTTTTTTTTTCAAAGATTTTATTTATTTGAGAGAGCGAGCGCGAGTGAGCATGAGCCAGGGGGAGGGGCAGAGGGAGAGGGAGCCTGATGCGGGGCTCAATCCCAGGACCCTGGGATCATGACCTGAGCCGAAGGCATACGCTTAACCAACTGAGCCACCCAGTTGCCCCGAGATTGCATATTTAATATGTCAGTTTAATTGGAAGTCGATAATTTTCTAAAGTCCTATGAATAAGGCATAGTCACATTCTCAATCAGTATTTTACTTAAGGAAATTTTGGCAAAGACAAAGACTGAATTGCATACTTATAGAAGTTATGAGTTGAATATAGTTAATATTTTAACCCAGAGGTTGGCAAACTTTTTCTTTAAAGAGCCAGATAGTGAATTCTTTTCAGATAATGAATATTTAAGCTTTGTAGCCATATAGTCTCTCTGTGCATATTTTTTTATTTTTATTTTTTGGCAACTCTTTAAAAATATAAAAGTATTCTTTTTTTTTAAAAAGAATTTATTTATTTGATATAGAGAGAGAGGGAACACAAACGGGGAGCAGCAGAGGGAGAGGGAGAAGCAGACTCCCCACTGAGCAGGGAGCCTGATACGGGTAAGACTGATGAATCACAGACCTGTACCCCTGAAACAAATAATACATTAGGTCACGAGCCCTAGGATCATGACCTGAGTTGAAGGCAGAAGCTTAACTGACGGAATCAGCCAGGCGTCCCAGTCCTGTTCTGGCTTTATTTGCAGTGATCTTGCTACTCAACATGATGCATTATTGATGAAGAAATTCTTTTTTTTTTTTTTTAAGACTTTATTTTAGAGAGAGAGCACTCAAGCAGGTGCAAGAGAAAGAGCAAGCAGGAGGAGAGGCAGAGAGGGAGGGAGGGAGGGAGAAGGGAGAGAATCTCAGGCAGACTCTGTGCTGAGCCCAGAGCCCTATATGGGGCTCAATCCCACAACCCTGAGATCATGACCTGAGCCGAAACCAGGCGTTAGATGCTTAACCGACTGAGCCACACAGGTGCCCCTCCTTAATACCTTTCTTAAGAGAATTGCAAACTCAAGTACTGTTCAGGTTATTTGGGTTTTGAATAAATTACCAAGAGCCAATACTTACTATTTTAATTTTCAGATGGTGACCCAGATAACTATATTGCTTACTATCGGAGAGCTACTGTCTTTTTAGCTATGGGCAAATCAAAAGCAGCACTTCCTGATTTAACTAAAGTGATTGAATTGAAGATGGATTTCACTGCGGTAAGTGCATCTAAACTTTCTTTAAAGGAGAACTTATGGGAATTTGGAAGAGGTAATTTGTCTTTTAAGGTGAGGACCAACCTGTTAGGCATAGCTGGAGGACAGAGAAAGCAGCTGTGGTGTAGAGGACTGGGCAATAAGAAAAACTCAAAGTTTCTGCAATCAAAGGTCTGTGTGAAAAGAGGAACAGTGGGTGCAGCCGCTGATTTTTAGAAGCTTGGCAATGGTGTTAGCTTTGTGGTTTAGAAAGACCTCTTAATCTCAGGAAACAAACTGAGGGTTGCTGGAGTGGTGGGGGGTGGGAGGGATGGCGTGGCTGGGGGATGGACATTGGGAAGGGTATGTGCTATGGTGAGCACTGTGAATTGTGTAAGACTGATGAATCACAGACCTGTACCCCTGAAACAAATAATACATTATATGTTAAAAAAAGAAGATAGTAGGAAGGGAAAAATAAAGGGGGGGAAATCGGAGAGGGAGACGAACCATGAGACTATGGACTCTGAGAAACAAACTTGAGGATTCTAGAGGGCTCTAGGATGGGTTAGCCCGGTGTTGGGTATTAAAGAGGGCACGTATTGAATGGAGCACTGGGTGTTATACGCAAACAATGAATCATGGAACAATACATCAAAAACTAATGAAGCAATGTATGGTGATTAACATAGCATAATAAAATTTAAAAAAAGCTGTTGAATTAAAAGGCTGTCAGGTGACTGATAATAGTTCCAATTAAGGCTGTAGCAGGAGGAATAAAGAAAAGGAGATAGGTCAGTTAAGCAGTGGTTTGTGGTGAGGACACAGTCGTGAATTAGACTGATCCTCCCCTGCAACCAACACAGAAGCTTCAGAAATGGAGGAATTTATAGTCTAATGGGATATCCTGATGATTGGGAGGTCAGCATAATGGCTTAAAATAATAGGATAAGTTAGATGGTTTCAAAATTAATTTGGTAACTCATTTATTGTTTATATCTTGCCATATTCCAAAAAGGACTAGGGATAACTGATTAGGTGTGGGTGAATGTTTGGTTTGAAATATTATTTTAGGATGGAATTCCCAAATGTCAAATTTTTTTCTGTTACTTTACCTAGCTAAGCACAACCTTTCACAAAGGTTAAGTAGTTCATTTTCCTAGTATTATAGTAGCTATTAGGTAGTTGAAGTGGCTTTCATCTTGCTTTTTATGTGTGTTGATGCACTTACCAGAGGATTAGGGACATTTTTATGTATTGTAAAAGTAATATATAAGTTTTAGTGGACTATCAATGTGTTTTCTGTCTTATGGTCACATTGGTCATCAGAGAGTCGGTATCCTTAGAAGAGCAAAGGGTTGTGCAAGCATCACCACTGTCTAGTTCCAGAACACTTTTGTCACCCCCAAAAGAAATCTAGTACCTATTAGCAGCCCCTCCCCATTTATGCCCTGGCCTTTGGCAACCACGTATCCTTCTGTCTGTATGGATTTACTTATTTGGACATTTCATATAAATGAAATTATACAGCGTGTGGCCTTTTGTGTCTCATCTTTTTCACTATGCGTATTGTTTTCAGGGTCCATCCATGTTGTAGCATGTGTCAACACTTCATTCCTTTTTATGGTTAGATAATATTCCACATTTGCTTACTGATTTATTAGTTGGTGGGAGTTTGGGTTGTTGCCACTTTTTAGCTATTGCTATGAATATTACATGTACAAGATTTTGTATGGACACCTATTTTCAATTTTGGGGAATATAGCACAAAAAGTATTTTTAAGAAAGCATACTTTAATAAAAGTAATACACATTCAATGGTTCCAGGAATTGTTCTCAAGAGTGCCTTTGTCAAGTGGACATTGGAAAAATAAATATTTCATTAATGCTTCATTAGCGCATTTGGTTTTATTCTTTGTGCTTAAAGAAAATTTGGAAATGCATGGTACTCGGAACACCTTTTCTTTTTTCTAGGCAAGATTACAGAGAGGTCACTTATTACTCAAACAAGGAAAACTTGATGAAGCAGAAGATGATTTTAAAAAAGTGGTAAGTTCAGTTTGTATTTGGTTTTATGAAGATGTTGAACATCTTTATGAAGATGAGTGAATATATGGGACTTTTTATAGTAAGACATTTAGCAATAACTTTATAGCTAAAAGGGAAAATCATCTGATTTGTGTATATAAAAATCACAGTTTCTGAATTAATACATAGTGACTGACATGAGGGAATCACTTTATTTTTTTTATTTTTTATTTTTTATTTTTAAAGATTTTATTTATTTATTTGCCAGAGAGAGAGATAGCAAGAGCAGGAACACAAGCAGGGGGAGTGGGAGAGGGAGAAGCAGTCTCCCCACCAAGCAGGGAGCCCGATGCGGGACTCGATCCCAGGACCCTGGGACCATGACCTGAGCCGAAGGCAGACGCTTAACGACTGAGCCACCCAGGTGCCCGGGAATCACTTTAATAGTTGGAAGGTAAAATATGTGGAAAGAGTATATAATTTTTTTTTAAAGATTTTATTTATTTGAGAGAGAGAGAGAGAGCATGAGAGAGGAGAGGGTCAGAGGGAGAAGCAGACTCCCACTGAGCAGGGAGCCCAACATGAGGCTCGATCCCAGGACCCTGGGATCATGACCTGAGCCGAAGGCAGTCACTTAACCAACTGAGCCACTCAGGTGCTCAATAATACGTAATTTTAATTCAGTTTATATAGCTCACATGTTCTGCTTTGTTTTCCATGAGAATCTAGAGATGTCAGCTGAACTATTCTAAAAGTGCTTGGGAAACCCTTCATTTGATTTGAAAGGAATAATGAGACATTCTTAAAACGGAATTTTGTAATTTCCCATATGGCTATTTTACAATGTGTAAAGTGTTTTGGATTTGTTGGGGGATGGTACAGATTACATGTAATTGAAAAATGATTTGGAGAGATAGCCAAAGTCTTCATTCCCTCATGAAGCTTATTTTAAGACCTACATTTTTATTCTGTCTGGATTTGTTTTTGGAGTGGTCTAGAAAGAGCATATATACAGTGGGCCTTTGAACAAAATGGGTTTGAACTGCATGGGTCCATTTATATGTGGACTGTTTAAGTAGTGTAAATGTATTTTTTCTTCCTTATGATTTTTTAAATAAAATTTGTTTTCTCTAGTGCACTTTATTATAAGAATACAGTATATAATACATATACCATTTGAAATATATGTTAATTGACTTTGTTATTGATAAGGCTTCTGGTAAACAGTAGGCTACTAGTAGTTAAGTGTTGGAGGAGTCAAGTTGTATGTGGATTTGACTGTAGGGGGTGGGTGGTGCCGTGCCCCTAATAACCCTAAGGGTCAACTGTATAAACCTCATTGTTCATTATTTGCATTTTTGTACTTTATAAAAATGCTCAGTTATGAGATGATAACCACTATGAATATAAAACTGAAATTTCTACTATTTTCATAACCTTTGTCACAATGCTCAGTCATATGCAGAGAAATCCAAAAAACATTAGACTTAATTGTATTAAAATCTAATCAGTAGCTGTCTCATGGTCTCAGTAAAACTGGTTGTTCCTTTACGTTTGTCTACTTTTCCTTACTATTTGGGAAGATGCTTGAGAGCAGGCTGAAGGACAGGTGGTGAGGAGGCCATGGTGTTGGGGTCACCTTTCCCCAGCCCAGTTCTTGTACATAGCAAGTGTTGTGAGAAATTTGTTGAATGGATGGATGAATGATAAAGCATAAGAATGGGTTTCCTTCTTTTTAACAGATGGTTAAATCTATTACTTAGAACTTTTTTCCAATCACAACATTAGAGTAGCCTTTTAGAAATAACACAATTTAGAATAAAGCTTTAGCAAAAATTAATCCTTACTGGGCAATGGATGTATCCTTTTGGAGAAGTGAGTTCTTGGAACTCTGGGTATGTCTTGATTAATGTCTTTTCTGTGATTGATATTAAAACCTCTCGGAAACAAGAAGGGGGACTTTGATGAGACTTTACACTTTTAGATTGTTTTCTGACAGTCATACTTCCGCTAGTGTGTTTTTTTTTTTTTTTAAAGATTTTATTTATTTATTTGACAGAGAGAGAGATAGCAAGAGCAGGAACACAAGCAGGGGGAGTAGGAGAAGGAGAAGCGGGCTTCCCGCCGAGCAGGGAGCCCGATACGGGACTCGATCCCAGGACCCTGGGATCATGACCTGAGCCGAAGGCAGACGCTTAACGACTGAGCCACCCAGGCGCCCACCGCTAGTGTGTTCTTAAAACCACCCTTGCTGGGCGCCCGCTTCTCCTCCTACTCCCCCTGCTTGTGTTCCTGCTCTTGCTATCTCTCTCTCTGTCAAATAAATAAATAAAATCTTAAAAAAAAAAAAAAACACACACACAAAAAACCACCCTTGCTATTATTATTACAGGATTCTTCCATGAGAATGATTTTTTATTTTTAGTTGAAATTTTTATTGAGATAATTGTAGATTCACATACAGTTGTAATTAATGATACAGAGAGATCCTGTGTACCCTTTACCCAATACCCACTTTTCCTCAGTGATAATGTCTTGTAAACCTGTAGTACGATATTACAACCAGGATATTGACATTGATACAATTTACCTGTCTATTCAGTTTTCCTCAGTTTTAGTAGTAGTGTTCACTTCTTTGTGTGTGTTTAATTCAGTACCCTTTTTCTTTACACTGCAGTTAACATACTGAGTGCTTCTGTTGCCACAAGGATCCCTCCTGTTGCCCCTTTATAACCACACCCACTTCCCTCACATACTATTCCGGCCCCTCATCCATAACTTTGGACAACCACTAGTTTGTGATTCATTTCTTAAATTTTGACATTTCAAAAATGTTGCATACATGGACTTAAAACATTATATAAACTTTTGGCATTGACTTTTTTACTCAGTAGAATTCCCTGAAGATTCATCCAGATTGTTGCATGTATATCACTTTGCTTGTTTAATTGCTAAGTATTCCATGGTATGTGTATGTCACCTTTTATCCATTCATCAGTGGATGGACCTTTGGGTTGTTTCTACTTTTTCACTATTATCAATAAAAGTGCAGGGCGCCTGGGTGGCTCAGTCGTTTAGTGTCTGCCTTCAGCTCAGGTCATGATCCCTGGGTCCTGGGATCGAGCCTCGCATCAAACTCCCTGCTCAGCAGGGAGCCTGCTTCTCCCTCTCTCACTCCCCCTGCTTATGTTCCCTCTCTCGCTGTGTCTGTCTCTGTCAAATAAATAAATAAAATCTTAAAAAAAAAACCACCAAAAAACTGCTATGAACATTCTTTTTTCTTTCTTTTTGTTTTTTTTTGCTATGAACATTCTTGTACAGGTTTTAGTGTGAACAGAAGTTTTCATTTTCCTGGGATAAATGCCTAGAAGTACAATTTCTGGGTTGTATCATAATTGCCTGTTTAGTTTTAGAATGAACCACCAAATTGCTTTTTAGAGTGACTGTGCCATTTTATGTTCCTCTGCATCCTTGCCAGTATGTGGTTTTGTCACTGTTTTTTATTTTAGCCATTCGGAGAAGTTTGTAGTGACAGCTCATTGTTTTTTTAATTTGTATTTCCCTAATGTTTAATGATCTATTCTTGTGCTTATTTGTCATCCTTTTTGGTGTAAAGCTGGTTCATGTCTTTTGCCCATGTTCTAATTGGATTGTTTGCTTTTTTACTATTGTGTTTTGGAAGTTCTCTATGTATTTTAAATACTTTATCACATGTGTGGTCTGCAAATGTGCTTGCCCAGACCATGGCTTGTCTTGTCCTCTTCACAGGGTTTGTGAGAGAGCGAATGTTTTTAATTTTGATGATGTCCAATTTATCGGTTTTCTGTTTTCTCCTATGTATAGTGTTTTTTGGTGTCCTGTCTAAGAACTATTCACCAATCCCTAGGTCCCAAAGTTTTTCTCCTGTGTTTTTTAAATTAAATTAAATTAAAATTTTTTTTTAAAGATTTTATTTATTTATTTGATAGAGAGAGTGAGGGAGCACAAGCAGGGGGAACAGTAGAGGGAGAGGGAGAAGCAGGCTCCCCGCCAAGCAGGGAGCCCGATGCGGGGCTCGATCCCAGGACCCCGGGACCATGACCTGAGCCGAAGGCAGACGCTTAACCATCTGAGCCACCCAGGCGCCCCTAAATTAAATTTTTGAGAGAGAGAGAACATGTGTGCAAATGGCAGGGGAGGGCAGAGGGAAAGTGAGAGAGAGAAAGAGAATCCCTAGCCCGGGTGGCTCAGTCGGTTAAGCATCTGCCTTTGGCTTGGGTCATGATCCCAGGATGGGATTGAGTCCCATGTCAGGCTCCCTGCTCAGCCGGAAGCCTGCTTCTCCCTCTCCTCCCTGCTTGCACTCTCTCTCTTGCTATCTCTGTCTCTCTCTCTCAAATAAATAAAATATTTAAAAAAATATTATGGTATTATCATAAAATAGATGATTTCTGGGTCTGGTTTGAAAAGATAAATTTTGTGTTATGACTGTATTTTATCTTTACCAATCAAAGAATTCTTATACTTTAATTTTTAGAGATTTGTGATTACAGATGATATATAATAACTTGTTTGCTTTATATGTTTTTACTTAAATGGGCTTTTTGTGGTATTAAGGGCATTTACCAGTCTATTAGAGGTAGCAAAGATTTAATCTTACTGATAAAGTGCTATATATACAACCAGGTAAGTATACTCAGCTACATTTTACATAATGGAACAGAAGTTTGAATATACTTAATCTCTTTTTGGGCTACAGTGAGGATCTTGTTCTTTGTTGTATGTACAGGTTACTCTGCTGCTGGAGGGTCTCCTGTAAATAAGCATCACCTCAGGTCCATACCAGCTATCGTGATCCTAAACAGTATCTTACATGGTTTAGTTAGTCTTTGAGCTATCACTGACTCCTGCTGTCCCCAGTGCATTTGGTCACTTGTTAGTTCAGTGAACACTGAGTGCATATTATTTGCAAGGCAGGGTGGTAGATGTTGGAGAGTTGCTGATGAAGAAAACTAGTCTCTGCCTTGGAAAGATTTTACTAG